TTTTCCGAAAAATACATTGGTGTAATCAGTTTATAAAAATGTAGATTTTTTTAAAATGTAAACGTCCACTTAAAGTTGGTGATGATTTTCAGCCTATCGAGACCATAAAACATACTTTTCTCGGAAATGGCTAAACATTTCAATTTCTTTTCTTTTTAATTTATTATATGTATTTTGAAAATTATATTCCCTTAGTTTCATGAAAATCAAAAGATTATTCTAGAAATTAAGAATAAAAACCAAGAAAAATTAAAAATCTAGTTTTTTACAAATATCTCGAAAACTTTGAGGTTATTGTAAAAAGTGTTGTTTATAAAAATTGTGGATTTTTACTAGACCTACAACTTTCGTAGATTTTTTTTTTCGATAGAACGTCACAGTAAGCCAAATATTATAAAAAAATATTTTTCAACGCGTTGCGTCCCCCCATTTATCGGGGGTAGCTGGGTATCGGGGTCATTTTAGGAATTTCTATTCCTTATATACCTGCTAACATTTTAAAATGATAAAACTTCAGGTTTTCATTGTTTTTTTTCTCTTAAAAATAAACGGATTTCGGTTGGTGTACTTGACCTGTTGACCAATTGATTTGATATTTGGTAACATTTTATGTATAAGCTTTTGTTCTGATGACAATACAATGCCACTGAAATCTGAATATAGTGTCATTGTAAATCCAAGATGGCCGCCAACAAAATGGCCCATTACATATTTTTTCACAACAACCCGCATAATTTTTTCTCTAATTCGCCATAAGAAGTATGCATAACTACAAAAGAAAATAGACAAATCCCGCTTTAGAGTTTTCATAATCAGAAGTGGGAATTGAGTGTATAATATTTTTAATACAATATTTTTCAGCCTTAAACGATTAGACGTAGAACTATATTATCATTGTACCATTTTATATAACAAAGTATTTATAGATTAATCAATATTTAATTTAATGTGGAAACAATTTGATAAAAAAAATATCGTGCTTATATACTAATGACTTTTTGAATATATATGCAATCAACACAACACGTTAATTGTACCTATTAAAAAAATTTCCACAATATAGTTTATCAGTTAAAATAATTAAAACCATAATTGAGCACAAATTTTTACCAAGTAATATTACATCTTTTGCACTATTTAACAATAAATGTTGATAATTTCGAATTTTGAATCTATATATATAAAAGAAAGTCGTGTTAGTTACTTCGCTTATAACTCAAGAACGGCTGAACCGATTTAGCTGAAAATTGGCAGGGAGGTAGTTTAGAGCCAGGAGAAGGACATAGGATACTTTTTATCCCGTTCGACCGCGTTCAAATTTTTATGATATTTTAATTTTTGGATTTCTCTTAGTCCGGAATAGGTAAGTATTAAAACATATAATTAAAATGTGAGAAAGAAAGATTTTTTCTTTTTATATCTATTTAAAACGTACCTAGCGACGAACCCGAGCGAAGCGAGGGTGAGCCGCTAGTAAATTATAAAACTGAAGAGAATATACTTATTTGCGGAACATAACATTTTGTCTAGTCATTTTCCTTTTACGAAATCAAGCAGTTGCAATCAACTAAAATGATTGCTTGTGCATAAACGTTAGTTCTTTGCACAATTGTAATTTTTCCTTTCTAGAATTTAATGAAATATTTTTCAGGCGCGTTGTAATATTGAATGTGATGCTCTGGTTGGTTTGGTATTCACCTTCAGCAATCTAGTGAAATTGTGTTCCAAGGAATACATAAACAACTATTCGCATTTGGCGGCACGTAACATGTGTAACGCAATGTTTGAGAACGTTCTATGGGATGTCGGGTAGTGGGGTGCGACTTTGTGGCAGTAGGTCAGTGGTTCCTTACGTAAAACGCGCGCCACCGGCTGTGACTGCGTCTGCGCATGCCGTACGCCGCAGCGGTGAAAGTTGTGGCTTCACGGGCAACTCAATGCGAAATTCTGTCACCTGCTCTTTACCATCGCGGGCTTATATTAAATGACGCGATCAATACGACCTCGTTACGTAATAAAGCCATTTTATTTGATAACAATTACCTTTAAGAATAATTCGAAGGCCACTTTGATTAATCGTTTCAAAATGATTCATTATATCTAGTAGAATATAGTATTAACAAAAATTAACGGTGTACAACTTTAAATTATTTTAGATCAAGGTCACATAACATTCGCAATTGTATAAGAGTTTAAGTAGCTCATTCTCTACATTCAACTCGGCCGTTGTTACTACATCTCCGTATTTGTATACATACATTACCACATGTACAGGTATGTTTTTAAGAAAATTTTGCTATAACCAGGATAAAGAAGTGTAGCAAATGTAGTTATCCCATTACATTATATATTATATATCTTTACTAATATTATAAATGTGAAAGTTTAGATGTTTGGATGTTTGTTACTCAATCACGTCAGAAAGGCTGACCGGATCTGGATGAAATTTGACACAGAGATTGATTTTAGTCTGAAATAGCACATAGGTTACTTTTTATCCCGGAAAAAATTAAGTTTCCCGTGGGATAGATCTGTTTTTGTCTAGGGACGAACCCGAAGCAAAGCGGAGGTGAGTCGCTAGTTATAAATAAATGTTACATTTTCATAAGAATAAATACGAGTAAGTTCGACCAAAATTTTGTGCTTATTGTACGTATTATTTTATTATTTTTTCATTATTAGTCGATAAATATGAGTGTGTTATACGCTCCATAGTAATATACTTAAGCAAACCCAAACGCATTCCTAGAATGCAACATTGCGATTCGCACGATTAATAGTTCTTGACTATTTGTATCAACATCGCGTACTGTTTCTTAGCGATCAGCGATGTTATGAGATAGTGATTCGAGGAACGTGACAATAGCACGAAAGCATTTAACATAAGATAAAAAACAAACGTGCCAACAGTGCTTCCGATATGAGAAATATTTGACAAACGATTCATCGTAAAATAATAGCTTTATAGCTTTATATTATTACAATTATCACATACACATTATAACTAGTTATTGAATGAACAAAATTATTAATTTATAACATACGTATCGTAAAGAAATTTTAATTGGGAAATAGTCACGCCCTCCTTTCTTTCTGTTGTCCATTGTGTCGTAATTGACGGAAATTCTCTTAATCACTCATTCCGTATGCGAAATCTACAAACGGCCAGTTTTTTAAGGACAGTGCTGCAATATTAACTTGGAGACTTCCGCCATATAACGCTTGCCACTACTAGATCTTAATATATATATATATATATATATATATATATATATATATATATATATATATATATATATATATATATATATATATATATATGTGTGTGTGTGTGTGTGACTTTATTAAATTAATAATTTTATTAAATATACTAGCGATTTAATAGTTACGTTTTAACGTTCAGTATAGATTTCTCAGATATTTTCCCGTAGTAAAAGGGCAGTGGTAGCCCAGTGTTAACGCGCTCGCTTGGGAAACCGAGTAAAGCGTGTTCAAATCCCGGGTGTCGCAGCTCTGATATTTTCATGTGCGAATCATTTCTAACATGATTACCACTTGCCGTACGGTGAAGGAAAGCATCGTGAGGAAACGTGCATGTTTGAGAGAACCTAGCAAGTTTTCGAAAGACATGTGAAGTTCGCCAACCCGAACTTGGCCAGCGTGGTGGACTATAGCCTGATCCTCCTCGCATTGAAGGGAGGCCCGTGCCCAGCAGTGAGACGTTAAAAAGAGCTGAATATAATACATACTATACAGTAAAATGTATTAGATTCGGCCTCTGTATCGATAATAAATAACAATGTCTATTTTAATAAGATTTTGCAAAAAATATTTAATGTACAGATTCGGCTTAATTAGAACCAGCTATCATCATATCAAATTTCATCATAATCTCTCGAGTGGTTTTCTTTTGATGCGTTCCCAGATAGACAGACAAAAATTCTAAAAAGTATACATTAACCCTTTGTATGGATAATAATGACTATTTCAATAAGCTTATGCAAAAAATGTACAGATTCGACTCAGTTAGAATTTTATTATATGTATAGATATCATATCCTTACTATTATTATATAATCTATACTACCTGGGCTACCGAGCTTCGCTGGGAGTTTTTGGCCAAAAAAAAACATTTAAATAAAAAAATTGAATAAATACAAAAAAAAACAAAATTAAAAACTTTATATCCGACCGGGATACGAACACAGACACCTGTGGTTGTCAAACTTGCGCCTTGGCCGCTTGACCACGATATATGTATATCCTAGCGTACGAATTAGTGACCATATTTTGCGTGTAATGCGAAACAAAACCGCATGAAAACTCGCAAACACGCGTTTTCCCAGACATTCCGTCCATCCAGCCGTTTCCGAAATTCAGATTATATATATAAATATACAAGAATTGCTCGTTTAAATATATTAGATAGATTAGATAATTAAAAATTAATCACCGAAATGTATATACGCGCATAACTTCGGATCGACTGCACCAAATTGGATAATTCTTTTTTTTGTGTTTGTTATTGTCAGAAAGTTTTGTCTAGAAGAAAATTCAAAGAAAAAAAAAGTTTTTACTAAAATAAGGTTTTTTTAAATCTCATGATATGAAAAGGGGGTGAGAGTGGGGATGAAAGTTTGTATGGAAGGAAGCAAGCTAGGGACGAACCCGAGCGAAGCGAGGGTGAGTCGCTAGTTATGAATATTTATTTGTAAATAAAATCTTTAAAAAACGTCTCATTTTTAAGTTAACTGAAAAAAATATTTTGTAACCTATGGTGAAATATGAAAGTACACAATGCTTTAATAGAAAAATTTGAAAATTCATTGAACAAGGTGCACGTGCCGAATTATCGCCACTCCATAGTCGCACCAAATAGCCATTTAGTCACGAACGCCTCTCCATGTGCCACACCACGCTTTTATGTTAACTGGCCTAATTAAAATACCGTGTAATCGTACCGAGCCTACGTTTTTAATAGCTAATTTCGTTTGTTGCAGATATAATTAGTCAATAAGAAAATTATCCAAAGATGGAGAGTGTCTACGGTTGGTACAATGACCTCATGGACAATAGAGGCGGTAAGTTTCAAAGTGTTCTTTTTAATTTTCTTTAATATATTGTATATCTTTTATATAAAACTTCATTTTGTTTAGAAGATTGAGAAAATGATTTTACATAAAACATTTTTTTGAAATATAAAAAAAAACGCTATACAATTTCTACAAACATTATTTTAGCTAAGTTGTTTACCTTTAACACCGATATAAAAGTATTTTTTCTAAAATTCTAAGTGGATTTTATCTCGATATTCCATTATTGAAATTAGTTTACAATACGCAAATATATATATATATATATATATATATATATATATATATATACACGTAATATACCTACATATACACAAAAACTACATACTATAAAAGAAAAATAAGTATACCTCTACTTTTTTGTTGAAATTTGTTAAAAAATTTCATTACGCAATATCTCAACATTTAGATCTACACACACACACACACAGTAAATTTTTATACTGACTTTTTTGATACCACTTAATATGAGTCTTTCTACGTTTTTTCACGTATTTTCTTCTATTAGTTAATTTATACTAAACACATTTCACTTGTCCCAATAAATTGGTATTTTCTTTTTTTTTTGTTGATGCGAAAGGTAATCGACTCTGAAGTATCTATTTACTAGATAGTATCAATATATAAAAAAAATCATGAAGTAGCTTAAAAAAGTACCTACTTCTGCATAATAATAGAGCTACTATAGAAATAAATAATAATGTATACAATACATATATAAAACCAGTGCGGTAACTAGAATACTTACTGGTCACTGCAAACTCAATAAAAATAATATGTTTACCCTCGGCCTCAGTCAGACCGCAATGTGCAGACTATGCCATGAGACAGAGGAAACTGCTATGCACATCCTCTGCTCGTGCGAACCACTCATGCATCGCAGAAGTATCTATCTACAGCATATTATGCAACCGGAAGAGATATAGATGTTCCCCGCTCAGAAAATCTAGAAGTTCCTGGAGTCAACAGGACTAAGCGGAGAACTCTAAATTAACTCTAAAGGGAGCTACGCTACGAGCTGCTATGGACTATAACTGGTCGACGTAGCTAGGGCTGACCTCGGCACCATACCCAATAAATATATAATAATAATACATATATCAGTTCCACGTGAGCTTTTTTTATGATTTTTAAAATAACCACTATTCTTATTAATTTATGAGAAGACACTGGCTTTCTTTAACTTCTTTGGAAACTATTATTTTACTCGAGTCTCATGTTTTAAATACTAATAACATGCTGTTCTTGAAGTTATTCCTGTATTCAATAATAATAGTAATATAAATAGACTATCTACTAATGCACCAGACGATTGTGAGAAGGAAATGTACACTAAGTACTGTAGGTATGCACATATATTGTCTAAACTGATTTATCAAGAGTACGTGCGCGTCTAAAAACTACAGATATCATTGTTTAATGTAATATATGCATCATTATTACAAAGATTGTTGATATGTATAAAATTATTTATTCAAGCAGCTAATATTTTACATTCCGTGCATGCTATCGTCAGAGCATCGACATAGGACGATGAACTTTTCAGATTTCGTATATTTTTTATTTGATTCTTGAATTAATATTGACCAACGAGACCCTCGTAATTTAACAAACAATGAGTAAAACCCAAGTATTTTTATTCTAGATACTGAGAATAATTATAAAAGTTCCTTTTATTACTCATCGTGATTTGATATGACAAAAGGACGGAATTATTCATTATATAATATATACGCTAAGAATATATACCTAGACTATTTAACCAGCTATTTCTTTAATTCACTATATGTATATTTTGGATATTACTTTACTTCTATGACAATTATAAAATAAACACTGAAGCTTCCACAAATGTACAAATTACGTGACCTAGAAGAAAAGGTATAGGTATACCTACTAGTGCCTAATTAGTTATTCATGACTGTTTATATCCATAATTTAAACTATATATATATATATATATTTCTTTTAGATTACTAAGGTAATAAATATATTAAAAAACATTAAAATCCAATTTTTATATATTGTTATTTCTCAAACGTTACAAGTATATGTGGAATTATCGCAATACACCTTATAACTAAAGAATGTAAAATAAAATATTAAATATTAAAGTCTTCTTCTTCTCCCTGCCCATTTCCCAAATCACTTGGGGTCGGCGCAGTACATCTTCAGTGTACTGCTGATAGGATTTGGCAAAAGTTTTACGACCGGCCGCCTGCCTGACGTCAACCCTCCTTGGGAATAAAAAAAATATTATTATGTACATACTTTAATATTTAAAATATTAAATATTAAAGTATGTACATAATTTAATTGCTGCTAATATTATTTTTTAAATAATTTGGCACTCGTAATTCTAATATGATATTCCTTTGAAATGTGATGACTATTGGAATACTTTTGTCTCACCTCCAGGTAAATTTATAAGAAATTAATTAAAATTCTAAGAAATCTATTGTTAACTGACACGCCGGCGTGTACGCGGTCGTGTAGGGATTAATAGTTTTATTAGAACACAAAAGTATTATAACACATGTACAAAATCATGTAAATACAAGTGTTACAAGACAGTTTGTTTTCAAAACTACGTATACATCACTTAAATTTAATAGGATAAATTTGCTAACACCGCTACTTGAAGTGGTTTGAGCCGGCAATCGACTTGGAGCTCTCCAGTTAGAAATTTGCTCAACTATATTACGTAAAGTATTACCTACAAAGTGATCCACTATAACTAGGGCATATCTGCGGAGCGTCGCCATTTCTGTCACTGTTATGTCAGCAATTACCCAAAGCCTACGTTTTTCACCTTGCCCGTGAATATTACTAAGAGACATTGAAATAATTTTATAAAACGCTTTTGTTGTGCTGTTTCTTTTTATATCGACCTCTTTTTATAAGCTTCACTTGCGAATGTATACTATATAATCAAATTAATTCTAATTCAGGAGGTAAAAAGTGGAATTCTAATGGCATCTAGTAAGAAGTTCGTGTTCAGGGTCATTTGATTTATTTTATGTGCTACTCCGGGTCACAGTTAATGATACACATATAACCATACAAACATTCGCATTTATTTACCTGTACCAAGTGTGATTTCTAAATCATTGATTTTTCAGAAGTTCTTAAAACAACTATCAAGTATTTTATATTTTACCTATGTACGTAACAGTTAATCAAAAGTGTATTTTTTTAAGTTTTTATATGTAATTATTATTTATTTCCGTTACTTACTTTCCACTAATAATAATAGTATTGTAAGTTATTCATATCCTTAAATATTTTAGTTTAAAACAATAGCATTAGTATATACAAATTACACATGGCACACTTAAATATTTCTTAATTTGTTAAAAATATAGCTTTCAAAAATAAAATACATTGAGGTCATTATGACAAAAATATTACCTACGTGAGAAACTATGATTAGAAGCCATTAATAAATAATAATTATATATTAATATATAAAATTGAATGTATGTTTGTCTGTTTGTAACGCATGATTTTCTAAACTACTTACGATTGCAATGATGCTGATGTTCTCCTAGCCGATTCCGGCTACGGCGGCCAATCTCATTGAGATTAGCCAACTGCGCAGGAGATATTATAGTGCTCAAGTGTACGCGCAGACACAGGTGCACTCTCTATTCCTATCACTCTCATACTCCGGTGGGACGACCACTCGACACGACCGGTGAGAGTTAAGGCGCAGGACCGACGGCTTTACGTGCTCTCCGAGGCACGGGGGTGAAACACCGCCAACTCCCCAACTCCGGGCTGTTACTGAGACTTACTATACAGAAAGACTAAATAACTAAACTTGGCCCGACCCGGGACTCGAACCCAGGACCTCCGGGTGTGCAGCCGTACATGCTAGCCACTACACCGCCGAGGCAGTTAATGATGATACTAATAAGTAATAAGTCGTTGTGTATAGTCCGTGAAGGTTTTTAACATAATGTCATCAACATAATATGATAGGAGGAGCAAAGTCGCATCGGATCAATCGATATTTAGTATCTCGAATAGAACATATTACAATGTATATTAGATTACTAGCATTGCCCGCGGCTCCGCCCGCGTTCAGATGATCAAAAACCAAATTCTTAGGTTTTACATATTACTATACCCTTACATTGCAGTTTTGTATTTTTTCAGAAATGAAACATTTCCCGCGGTAAAAAGTATCCTATATGTTGACCCGGATAACCAGCTATCACCATACCAAATTTCATCAAAATCCCTCCAGTGGTTTTTTAGTGATGCGGTAACAGACAGACAGACAGACAGACAAAAATTCTAAAAACTATAGATTCGGCCTCTATCGATAATAATGTCTATTTTGATAAGATTTTCAAAAAAAATATTTAATGTACAGATCCGGCTTAGTTACAATTTTATTATATGTATAGATTTAAAGTAAACTTTTATGTTATAACAATGTAAACACTTTTTGCCAATCGCCATCCATACACGTGCTTCTCGTATGACTTGTATTTGCCATTACTTAATACACACAATTATGTATGTACTATGTACATATACAGCAGGGAGGAACAAATGGATGGGACATGAAAGAAAACTACGTAAAAAATTGAAGTTATCAAGTTTCCCCCAAAGGAAGCATTTTATTTAAAAAATAATAATAACAACATTTAATATTTTTTCTATAAAAACTTACCTGAACATGAAATCAAACCAACTAAAAATACAGTAAAATACCTTGTCTCTATTTTATTGAACTAACCGATAGAATTTATGGTAAGGATAAAATATCTCGAACCAACATTGTGTCTTACAATTAAAGAGAGCCTTGAAATCTTATAATTTAATTTCGACTCTATGTAAGACGAGATGAAAGAAAAGTGTCTTAAATACTGAAATAATTAATTATCTCTCAAAGGCAACGTTGTTTTTATTTTTATAAATAATAATAACTGCATTTAATTTTTTTTAAAGAGGTGACTTGAACCGGTAATCAAACTGACTAAAAATGCAAAAAGGTGTTAAATAAATGCAGTTATTTTTATTTTTTTAAATAAAACTATTTTTTCGGATTATTTCGTGGATTTATTTTGATTTTTGGTTCCCTGAACCAAACCAAAGAACCAAAAATCAAAATAAGTCCGCGAAATAATCCGAAAAGATAGTTTTATTTAAAATGTCAAATATTCGCGTAAATCTAAAAAAGTATTAAAGGAATGTTTCCTTTAAGTAAAACTTGATAACTTCAATATTTGAGGTACTTTTCTTCCATATCCCATCCATTTGTTCCACCCTGTATTACAGCATATTATAAAGAACGCTATAGATGTATATTTATTTTATGGTGCTTAAATCGTTACATTTTATTACCAGACGTAATATCAGTATGGACATAAATATTAGTGACAAAACTATACAATTAAAAAACAATTATGATCGAAAACGACTAGGTTGCTTACAGCTAAAAGGAAAATGCCTACGTTATATTGAAATTTATCCAAAAAATGTGGCATTGTACTTCTTTTGTCATAATGTGTGCAAATTGTTTGTCATAAGTCCTCTTAAGGTGTACCTGCTCGTCACACCTGGTTAACCTTACTCATCTTGCCTTCACAACATCGTCTTGATCATGACCCTAAAATATAGATAAACTGGCTTTTGCCCGTGTCTCCGCTCGCGTAGTTTATTTACTATAATTGGACGTAGTTATGCAAAAAGGATCCAGTTCACGATAACCGTTTTTTAAGTTACTGTCATAAGTAACACCTACTTATCAACTTACTTATATACTGAAAATAGATAAAATACCCAATATTTAAGAGGAATTTCAAAAAAACTACAGTCTTGTTTTTTAGATATACGATTTTTTCTAAAACTCCTATTTTAAAAGTAAGTTTTTGTAGTTGAATCTCTTTTGCATAACATAATATGTACGTCCAATTATATGTAAAATTGCTTCACTATCAATACAACGAAATGATGTACGGATTTATAATATACACATCAATGCTGAATGAATGAGCCAACCCAAAAACTATGTTAGGTCCTTAGAGGGGTCTCTTGACTATCCTTGTAGGTAGCGTCAAGTCAATGCAAGGCTATCATATTATTGAAGTAGTATACAGTTGCTTCTACAAACATGTACAAAAATGCATAACGTTTGGCATGTAAAACAAAATTATTCCATTACTAGCATTGCATAACCGCGGCTCCGCCCGCGTTAGATGACCAAAAACCAAATTCTTAGGTTTTACATATTAGTATACTCTTACATTGCAGTTTTTGTATTTTTTTCTTAGAAATGAGATATTTTCCCGCGGTAAAAAGTATCCTATATGTTGACCCGGATAACCAGCTATCACCATACCAAATTTCATCAAAATCCCTCCAGTGGTTTTTCTGTGATGCGGTAACAGACAGACTGACAAAAATTCTAAAAACTATAGATTCGGCCTCTGTACCGATAATAATGTTTATTCCAATAAGATTTTCCAAAAAATATTTAATGTACAGATTCGGCTTAGTTACAATTTTATTATATGTATTGATTTGTCCATAAAGTTCCTGATATCATTTTGATAATGGAATGTGTAACTTTTTCACTGGTTTTCATTGAATGGCTATATTAAACAATAGTTAGACTTTTAACAATAAGTCGCGTTTAAATCAGTCTACCTGGTTAGGAGCTATGACGATATACAACAGATAAACGTCAAGATTATACACCAATCGTTTCTATTTAGCTGATATTGAAGGAGGTGTAACTTAGTCAAAAGTCATCTATCTTACAACAATTTTAATATCCCTTTTTTTATTCAAGACCATCATAATTAAGTTTCGTTTTCTAAGATGGCTGAATACTGATAGTGTAACAATATGTAATTCCTGCTAATTCAAAAATTATACATTGTTCATACCACAACACACAAAAACGAAGTTAATCTAAAAAAGTTAACAAATAAATAGTAAATTTATGCAAGACATAAATATATTAAAATAATTAAATAAAAATATACATAATACATTAAAATAATTAAAGTATGTAATTTTTTTACCACACAATTATCGTACTACAATAATAAATGCAAAAGTTTTTATGTATATGTATATATGTGCATGCTTTACGCCGAAACGGTCGAACGGATTTGGATGAGTACACAGATAGACTACCTCGACCTACTAGGTACCTGGAGACACCCGAGCAAAGCAAAGGTAGGTTACTTGTATTTTAATATTCTTTTTTTATTTTCCCAGATCCGCGTGTTAAGGATTGGCCTATGATGTCCTCACCGTGGCCTACACTGATGGCGTGCGTGTGCTACGCGGTGTGTGCGAGGAAAATTGGGCCGGCACTCATGGCGAACAGAAAACCCTTCGAGTTGAGAAATGTACTCATAGTTTATAACCTGGCGCAAACAATATTCAGTGCTTGGATATTTTATGAGGTAAGATATCGAAAATTTAATTTACAATAATTTGATTTAATACAAATATTTTTATTGACTTTAAAATTAAATAATAAGTAAATTTTACTTTACGTATTTAACTATTGCTTTAAATTGAAGTGGTGAATTTAAGAAGTGTTGCATATTATTTAAGTATATTATATACTTATTAAGATATACATATTTGTAACTTGTGCTATCCACGGCTGTAATTTACCTTTAAGCCTGAATTATGGCGCAAAAATAGTTCAAGGGCTGCCAGTAAACTCCAGTCATTTTGTGTTGACAGTTCGCTGAAATTATACAGAATTGAATGTTATGATACAAATTGAATTTGTATAATGTAAATTGAAAGTTATAATACATACAAACGAACAAACTAATAAGAATTATGTAATTTTATTATAGCATAATTTTTAATTTATTATCAATTTCACATATTATGTTGAACAAGAATTTTGTTTTTCCGGTTCTTAATAAATCAGTATTGTTTCAAATAAGAAAAAATATAATTTCGGCGGTGTCTTATCGGGGTATCTTAATATTAATTAAGACACCCCGATCTTATTTTACTATATACGTGGGAAAGTTTGGATGGATGGATGTTTGTTTGTTACTCAACCACGATAGAACGGTTGAACGGATCTGGATGAAATTTGGCACAGAATTGGATTATAGTCTGGAATAGCACATAGTCTACTTTTTATCCCGGAAAAAATGACGGTTCCCGTGGGATAGATTTGTTATTATTTTTTACTAGCGAGGAAGCCGAGCGAAGCGAGGGTGCTTCGCTAATTATGAATATTATTCAGTGACCTTACTGTGCGAAGCAACTCTTAACGAGTCAAATTTGCACTTGATTTTTTTTGTTTTATCAATTATGCAAGGTTATCTACTATATAAACAGGATACATAAAAAATCATACCTACTATACGTTTTTTTGTATCCAACTATGTAATATAGCATCCCTGAGCTGTTTGTACAAAAAAAATCCAAGCAGTGTTAAAAATCTATTATTATTAAATTGTTGGCACGAAAACTACAAACTACAAAACTTTTCTATTTTTTAATTGCTTATTTTTCAATTTTAATATATTTACTTATTTTTACTATAATAACATAACTTATTTCTTAATTATATATCATATGTAAGTACAATATTAAATGAAATAAATATTATGTAAACTAATTTTAATATTTAGTCAAATGTTAGCCAAACGTCTTGTACAATCATTTTACATTCGTATAAATTGTTTAAATAAAATATTAAAATACATAATATTAATAAAAGTTTGATATATTTCCTTATTATATTAAATAGCGTTCTATTTTTATATATGTTCAACAATAAAGTGATATTTACATACATCAGCTAAATTTTGCGAGCAATAACAGTATGAGTGCGAGTAATAGAGGAAGTTCGTACATAATAATATAGAAAAGACAGCGTCTAAAAGATACTAACGAATTATTAAATAGTTTTAAATTATTATGTATTTTATGTAAATTTACAAATTAAACAAACATAAACGAAGCGAGAAAAAGATAATAAATCAAGGTAGAATAGGAAAAATAATGTAACCACACCTAAATAGTCTAATCGGAATCCGGTTGGGGAAAAAAATATTGAAAACCTTAAGTTTTATGATTTTAAAATGTTAGCATATATATATAAAGTATAGAAATTCGTAAAATGCCTGCCATGCCCAGCTACCCCCGAGAAATGGGGGGACGCAAAGCGTCGAAAAATTTTTTTTTCAATTTTCGGCTACTGTGACGTCCAATCGAAAAATATTTTCTATTCTGCAAAAGTTGTAGGTCTAGTAAAAATCTACAACTTTTATAAATAACACTACTTGCAATAACCTTAAAGTTTTCGAGATATTTGCTAAAACTCGGTTTTTAATTTTTGCTTGGTTTTTTTATTTTTAATTTGTAGAATAATCTTTTAATTTTTATGACACTAAGGGAATGTAATCTTCGAAATACATATAATATATAGGGCTCATTCTTTTCGTCTTGAACTCTACTTTTTGAAGAAATAAAAACATTGTATGGTCCTGTAAAACACCCTTAATTTTTTTTAAATTGGAGAAATCGATAATTTAGCCTTTGTAAAATACATTTTTTTCAATTATCATTGAAGAAGTGTACTGTATTGACCAAATTTTTATAAACTGATTACATCAATGTTTTTAATTTGACGCTTAATATTTATACAATGTCGCTGTAAACATTCCAACTTTGCAATTTGACGAGACGTGAAATAAGTAATAAAAGTTGGAATTCACGTAAACTATACCATTGCTTTTGTATTATTTTTTTGCCTTTTAATGTATTTATGTTAATTTTTTTTGAATTTTATCGATTTTTTATTGGTTTTTGATAGATTTTGGAGTTAAATTTATTGTTTTTTTCTAAAATGAAATTCATTCATAGTCTAATCTTGTTTATTCATTAGTTAAAAATATAATTTAAAAAATTAACTTGATATTTACAAAATTTAGTCATAGTTTTGTTAAAAACTCATAAAAAATGTAAAAAATGAAAAAATAAATAAAAAAAACAATAACTATATTAGATCCTTGTATAATTATGATTTTAATTTTTACAATTACCCTTTAATCTACTGTGCATCCTTTAAATACTAAGATATTGATGATAAAAAAAGAACAAGATCCTTTTCCATTAAAAGTCGAATATCTCAGGAAAAAATCGACGTAAAGGGTTTAGTAAAACAATTTTTTTTTTCATTTGGGCATCGGGGGCATTTTACGAATTTCTATTCCTTGTATACCTGCTAATATTTTAAAAATCATAAAACTTCAGATTTTTAATATATGTACACATTTTTTTCTCTTGAAAATAAACGGATTCCAATTGGTCTACTATGTTGTTTACCTAATTGCGAACGGACATAAAATATTATAGTTGTACCTATGATTTGCGAAATTTAAAGGAAGGTGAAAGATTTCATTATAGTACCTATTACAAATATTTGCATTCTGATGACCAGTGTTTAATACGGTCCATACCTATTGTATTAATATATAATATATTATGTATGTCCATATGTATATATTATATGTACGTTAACCTTTTAATATAGTATAGCTTTGAACACCAAATATATATTTTAAATAAAACCATCTTTTCGGATTTTTTCGCTGATTTATTTTGATTTTTGGTTCAAAATAAATCCGAAAAGATAGTTTTATTTAAAATGTTAAATATTCGCGTAATTCTAAGGAAGAATTATCAAATATATATACTATATTTGAAAGAGGTATAGTTTGTAGGTTTGTATGTATGGGGTAATCTCTGAAACTAGGTACTTATTGTTCCGATTCTGAAAATTATTTCATTAATAAAAAGCTATATTACTGCCGAATACAATAGGCTATTTGTAATTCGATAAAATATATTTTTACTGTCAAAAATGATAATAGGTACATGTATTTAATTGGAGTCGGAAAAAATGTCCGTTGAGTTGCTTCAGCTAATCGTTAATCGGATATTGTTGGGTACCAGGGACGCACCCCAAACGAGGTTAAGTCTTATGTATTATCTTATTAATTATGCTTTTGTTTTCCTTTATATTGGATGTGTATATATATGTAAGCGCCGAGCCTCAATTAGATTTCGTTTTAATGATCAATAAATACTTACTGATTTTACCTAAATATGATAATGAATTACATACAAATTACCAGGATTAATATCTATTCTAGATATGAAAATGCTTAACACTTTGTATTTTCATTTACGGAAAGTATTAAAGAATAGACTATTATATATTAATTCGTTCATGCCTTTAATATATTATTATAAAAATTATTATTGCGAGATGCGAGTGTACCTTAGGAGATAGAAATATACTATTGCAGACACTTTTGTAGGCCTTTACATACAATTTTTTACTACATTTAAAAATGTATTAAGGTTTAGCCAGCGGAAGGTTTCTAAGAACGTCTCGATAAAACCAATTATTGTGTTTTCCCGTGGGAAAGTAAGATTTTCCTGAAGTAAAAGGTATCCTATATTGACCCGAGTGATAAGTTATCACTTCACCAAATTTCATTGAGATTGGTTCATTACTTTTGGCGTGGAACGCGCACACACAAACAGACATACAGAAAAGCAGACATTTTTTTATAACTATTGTTTTGGGGTATATATTGTGTATATAATATGTTAGAGTCATTGTTTTCAAAAAATATTTCATGTACAGATTTCCCTAAGTCACTGCTTTATTATAGTACCTATAGATTATAACAGTTGGTATTTTATCTTATTATATTATTGTAATTATAATTAGTATGTATAATAAAAGGGTTTAATATTTACACAGAATATTTTGTTCACAGTATTTGGCGAGTGGTTGGTGGGGCCACTACGATTTTAGATGTCAACTCGTTGACTATTCGCGAAGTCCAAAAGCTATGAGGGTATGTATGACAAATTACTATATTCTAAGTTTTTTAGTATTATAGTATTGTAATAAAAAATTGCAACTGCATGTTCAAAACTTTAAAAAGTCTAGAGCGTGCTATTTATTCCTTTTTATGTATTCTAGATTAACTTTTATACTAACGTTTTTAAATTATTTACGAAAATTTATTGAACTGTTGGCGGTTAAAAATTATTTAAGATAATGAGGACATACATAATATTATACACGCAGTTCCTGATAAAATCACTCGTGTCCTTAAAAAGTAAATTAATTACTGCTGAAAGAAAAACTTAACTGATAGTAAAAAATCAAAATGAAACGAAAAAAAATGTAAATTCTTATATCTAAAATAATCATTTTTAATTATATCCATTTTATTTTAATTCTTTTCTATCAAAATTTAAATTCCAATTTGACTTTGAATTAACACGTGCATTTAACTAACACGCAACTGATTTAATTTCACTGTTATAAATTGATTTAATAAAATTGCAACTATAAAACACAATAATTCGTCCTATTCGTCACGAATTTTACATCTCGTACCAGGAGTGGTTTTCACTAAATATTTTCCTTTGCTACACTATATAAGTTCGTTTCGGAATAAAGAATGGACCACAAGAAGTCGGACCTTGTATGAACCGGTATTTGAAATGCTATTACGTTATGACGAGGCAATTTCGAAATATTGCAAACACACATAAAATATTCAAATTATATAGCATAATATTGCTTCATTCTGAAATTCTATAAATTTGATTACGATTTCACTACATATATCTATATCGTAATTAAAAAAAAATGTTACGCATCGTCAAGAGTTATGTATGTAGATATTACACCTATCGCAGGAGAGTTAAATATTAATAATAAATGTACAAATGTAAATTATTCATAACTTTATGTTCTTAGTATAATTACTTTTGCGCGCAAATATTAACTTGTTTTTTTTTTCTGCATATTTTTATTATAAGGATTTTTACCTGTGCTATTTTTATAATAACATATAGTTTTTTTTAAGTCAGCATTTTATCTGATATATCTCTGTTTATTTACTTCATAGCGCATATTTTATAACCAAATGAGGTTATTATTTTAACCGAATTACCTAATTAAAGACTCATTTTAAAAGTTATAACATAAAACAGATGGCGAACACGTGCTGGTGGTACTACTTCAGCAAGTTTACGGAATTTTTCGACACACTGTTCTTTGTGCTGCGCAAAAAGAACGAGCACGTGTCAACACTCCACGTGATCCATCACGGTATTATGCCCATGTCCGTCTGGTTTGGACTTAAATTTGCACCAGGTATGTAAAAAATTAAGAGACTTTGTTAATATTAAAATTGATAACGGCAAGGAACAATATTGTAACTCAGTTTATCATTGAAGAATAAAAAAAATATTACTGTTTTATTATTTAAATTACAATATTTTTCTTGACATGTGTCGATATATTGCTTATAGTATATTGCAAAATCATAAAATTTAATCACAATTATGATATTAAACAAAATTAAAAAAATGATTGATGTTTATTGTGTATGTATTTAGAAAATAAAAAACCTTTATCTGTATAATACATGTGATTTTACAATATGCGTGTAATACCTATTATATATGTATAAATATTATAAATATGAAAATTTGTGAGTATGTATGGATGTTTGTTACTCTTTCACGCCAGAACGGCTGAACGGATCTGGATGAAATTTGGCATAGGGATAGATAGATTATAGTCTGGAATAACACATAGGCTACTTTTTATCCCGAGAAATATACGGTTCCCGAGGAATAGATTTGGTTTTGTTTCTCTATTCTGTAGTATACCTATATTACATATTTTTATCTCGCTTTATATTAATTAATATTTCGTTTACATGATTAAATTATTATTTTATATTTACATAAAATAACTGTAGTGTTCCATATGTTAAATGAAGTTGTCATCCTATTAAGTCTACGTATGTTTTTGTTACTGCTTCACAATGTATCTCAATTCTCAATGGATGACATTTCAACGGATTCTAGTGAAATCCGAAATGAACATAGCTATATTTTGAATTAACACAAAAGACTTTTAACGTAGGTATCTATCTATCATGCGAGCTAAGCCGCAAGCAAAACTAGAATCACTTATTCACAGACAATATGCATTATGCATTCTCGTACAAAACGGTGTCAATGATTGGTTTGAATCGTAGAAGCTGCAGATGCATTCAAAAGAAGATTTGTAAATTTTTAGGGTTCCGTACCTGAAAAGGTAAATAAGGAACCCTTATAAGATCACTCTCTTTTCCGTCTGTCTGTCTGTGTGTCAGCACCGATTTTCTCAGGAATGGGTGGACCTAGCAAGTTGAAATTTATACCAGATACTGAGGTCTATAGCCCGTATTAGGTGTATAACAATCAAAGTCCTGAGTCAACACGATAAAAAGATATGGGCAAATTTAGATTTTCGCGAAAACTTGTAAGTACCAAAATTTACCTTAATTTTCAACTTTTTTTATTTTTCGGACTTTCCCTTTTACTTGTGCTGTAAGACGTTGCTTTTAACCAAAAGTGACAATTCTAACTCAACCGGAAGTACCCTATAGGTTTTGGGTCAAAAATCTATATGGTAGATCCCGTTGACCTAGAATCACGAAATTTGGTAAAAAAATAAGGTCTTCCAGCACAAATAAAGGAAAAAGAAAAAAAGTTGAAAATTAAAGTTAAACAGATTTCCTACAAATTTGTACTGAACCCTCGATGGGTGAGTCCGACTCGCACTTGTCCGGAATTTTTCTAATAATTATCAATCTCTTTAAATGTTCAAGTTAGAAAATTTATCTTAAAAAAATATAACTATTTACGTAGAATGTTTATTGATTAAGTTAAGTAAAAATTTAATCAAAGATTTTTCAAATGATTTGTATCGCGCATCGTTCGAGAATGCTTGGACCAATATACTATAATCTATACTTATAATATTATAAAGATGTAGAGTTTGTTTGAACGCGCTAATCTCAGAAACTACTAATACGATTTGAAAAATTTGAAAATTTTCGCTAGTATGTAATAATTTTAATGATTTCCGTCGTATCGCATACCATCAGTATACTCGTACCTATAAATAACACTACACTAATAACTTGCTACATAGCTAGGAATTATGTTTGACCCCTAACCTCAATTACTTCTGTTACGATATGGACGCTCTTTTAGTTTAATAAAATACCTTTTTAATGTGATTTATTTGGTTTTTACTAAAATCAAAAGATTTTTTATACTAAATGTGATATCGGCCACGATAGCGGTCCAATTTTATTTTTGATAACTCGATTATACAGGTGGATTTTTGAGACGGGACAGTAAGGGCAGGAACCTTAATTGTTATATCTACAGGAAAACGTTTCTAAGAGACCATCCGTAACTTTTTGAAATATTCAGAACATGATTAATTTTTTATGTCAATCGAGTCTATTTCATGTAGGGATCAAAAGACTATGGGACTATTTAAGGTAATGAGTACTAGAAATGACAGAAATCGCCAAAAACTTTTCCCATACATATTCAACTTAATATAAAAAACCCAAGAATATTTGTCGGAGGCTGCCAAGGCTGCCATCACTATGTTAAATTTCATCGTAAATAAAAATAAGTATCATCATCAAATTCTAAATGCGTGTTCTCTTATGTGTGGTCGCTAACTAGTAACTTAAAATTTGAGCGTCATTTTTGGAAAACAAAGTACTATCAACATGAGATCAATTCTAATTTGGGCACATTTTCTCAATTGCTAATTTAATTTGTCTACTGGTGCTAATTTGAAATACTTCGCATAAACGTCGTCCAACAAAGTATAAATATTGTACTAAAACTACTGTGAAGTAAATATTGTCTAAATGTTCAATAACGTTTTTACTGATTAACGTGTATCAATAACACCTCTTTGTTGATATTTATTTAGCACTTACATTATAAAACTTTTAAGGGCGAAGCCGCGGGTTCTGCTAGTCTATACATATAATAAAATTCTGAGTCAAATCTGTACATTAAATATTTTTGGAAAATATTATTGAAATAGACATTATTAACGATACAGAGGCCGAGTCTATAGTTTTTAGAATTTTTGTGTCTGTTACCGCATCACAGAAAAACTACTGGAGGGATTTTGATGAAAATATGTATGGTGATAGCTGGTTATCCGGGTCAATATATAGGATACTTTTTACCGCGAGAAAATCTCATTTTTGAGAAAAAAATACAAAAACTGCAATGTAAGACTACTAATATGTAAAATCTAAGAATTTGGTTTTTGATCATCTGAACGCGGGCGGAGCCGCGGGCAACGCTAGTATTAGTATATAATAAAAATAGCTATTGCGTGTATACCTTAGGAGATAGACATATACTATTGCGGGATTTTCTGTAGGCCTTTTTAAGACTTAACATTTTCTAGTACATTTTCTGGTACATTGTTTTGATGTACCTGTCACCTTAAGGTCTAGCCAGCGTTAGACATATAAATTTCTAAGGACGACTAGATAGGACCACTTACTGTGTTTTCCAATGGGAATGAAAAATTTTCTTGTGGTAAAAAGTATCCTAAACGTTGACCCCAGTAATAAGTTATCACTACACAAAATTTAGTTAAAATCGGTCCAATACTTTTAGCGCGAAATGCGCACATCGATTTGTCGCACATTGATCGTCTATATTATGTTACAGTAATCATATACATAATGTATGTATGTATGTATGCATTCAGCCCTTTTCAACGTCCCACTGCTGGGCTCGGGCCTCCTTTTAGTAAGAGGGGCAATCAGGCCATAGTCATCATAGTCCACCACGCTTGCCAAGTGCGGGTTGGCGGACATGTACATAATACGTTACCGTAATCGTTTAAAAAAATGTACAGATTTCGCTAAGTTACTGTTTTATTATATGAAAAAATATATTTTTAGACTTTAAAATAAGAAACGAATGGTTAATGCGTGTTATAATCAAGTATTGCATGTCGTATGTTTTTACAACTATATTCTTAAGAAACCTTTAATGTGTATGTACATATTGTTAATTACGTAATTGGAATACCTGTGTCACTTCAATAAACAAGCTACGTCAATGCTTCATCAAATTCTATCTACCTGTGTTTAATACTATATGATTACAATTTACTACATGAATATTTTTTATTAGTAATTTTAATTTTTATATATTATATATAGCTTTGTTAGATATATAAGCGACTAAAAAAGTTACTATTTTACCTAAAAAATGTTTTGAAAATCTGTAAACGCACTTTTTCCTTACTAAACCCAACTCAACTCAAATCAAGCACGCTGCTCTAATGAATATCGAATATATTTATTATATACTAGCGCCGCACCTCGCATCGCTCGAGTTAGCCTCTAGAAAAACAAGAACAAGTCTATCCCACGGAAACCGTATATTTTTCCGGGATAAAAAGTAGCCTATTGTGTTATTCCAGACTATAGTCGATCTCTGTGCCAAATTTCATCCAGATCTGTTCAACCGTTCTGGCGTGATTGAGTAACACATCCATCCAAACATATAAAATTTCACATCTGTATTATTAGTAGATATACAATATACATTATATTCTATATCAGATTCAAATATTTGGTAATATTGTGCATCTATATATTTTTCTCATATATTCTCATATCCGTTGAACCATTACTATTGTAAAAGAAACAGGCACAAATATACTCAGTCTTCATTTCAGGTAGGCGAAAATACCCTGAATATTTTCCATTCACTTTACATTATACTATTATACTAATATCCCATGGAAACTGTTGCGAAATTTTTTGCGGGATAAAAACTATTCTATTAAAAGTATGCCACACTTATAAGTGAAATTCTTTTTATAAAATTAACATATAAGAAAGGATAATGGTATGACTCTTGACAAAGTAATTATACAAATCGATCCACAATTGGCGAAGATAAATACATTTTCCTTTTTAAAGTCGGTCAAAAATCACATTGAACCGTAACTCCATAAATAATAAATGAAGGACACAATCAGTACCTACTTACTCACACTTTCACATTGTATATATTATATACATGTAACACATCATTATGTAATATTAATATACAATGTTATGATATTCTATATACAAACTCGACCTCATTTCTATTTCATAATATAAATTAGGTTTTGTGATTTTAATAGAAGCAATAAAATTCTTTATAGATTTAAACCATACGAAATTATCCTATTTCATAATTTCACGCCTACTTTAGATCTTGACCTTTAAAAGGCTGAACTTTAAATATCTTCAAGGATAAATT